CTATGCCCTATCAGGGTGAGACTTGCTTTTGAGTTAAATATGGCACTTGTTACCAGTTCTTCTTATCCCTTGCTTAGTTATCTCTTGCAGAACACTGGAGAAAAGAAATTTAAAAAGTGTGTGTGGGGGGGAATATGTGGCTGGCACTAGAAAGAGCATCATTTAGGTCCCTTGAGTTGTTCCTCATAGTCTACAATAAATAGCAGTCTGCCTTTCAGCCTTGTGTCTTGCCACACTGTACCTCATATCCCAATTTCCGTCCAAATCTTACATCAGGCTCACCAGATGTAAAATGGGGATTGGCGTGTGCATGACTTATGGAAGGTAGTTCCAAAAACAAACCATGAAGACAGCGAGGGAAGCACCAAGAAGTTCTGCAAGAATGTAGGTCCAGGGGCTCCTGGGTGGCTCAGTCGTTAAGTGTCTGCCTTCGGCTCAGGTCATGGTCCCAGGGTCCTAGGATTGAGCCCTGCATCGGGCTCCCTGCTCAGCGGGAAGCCTGCTTCTCCCTCTCCCCCTCCCCCTGCTTGTGTTCCCTCTCTCGCTGTGTCTCTTTCTGTCAAATAAATAAATAAAATCTTAAAAAAAAAATGTAGGTCCAGGTGCAATCAAGCTTCAGCCCCAATCCCATCAGATGCTTTGGAGTGTATTTGGCCCCACAGGGTTTGTTTCACGTTGAGGTGTAGAAGTTGGGGATTCCACTATAATTCCCAGGCACATCTAAGTAAGGATGCTTCAGTCACCCAAGAGTGATCATTCTGAGAAGTATGCAGATGTGGGCCTTGAATGTGTAAAAGGGATTTCCATGAATTTGGGGGAGTGCAATAACATCTGCTACAATCCATTTCAGGATTTCACTGTTCCCTCAAAACATCTTCCTCCATTATCACTTATCTCCTTTATACATGTTGGTGCCTTTGCTTAGAATATCTCTTACTTCTTTCTGTTATCATTCTAGATCTTGTTGCAAACAGGGAAGGCTTGGATAGAGTTAGGGATGACCTATTTCTGTTCCCACAGAACTCAGTTTATATGTGTCATTAGGACTATGCACTGTGGCTTAGCTGCACATGTATAGAACTCATTTAATAATTCATGGTTTTCTCAAGGTCAAGAACTGTTTCTTTTTTTTTTAAGATTTTATTTATTTATTTGACAGAGAGAGAGAGAGAGAGAGCTAACGAGAGCAGGAACACAAGCAGGGGGAGTGGGAGAAGGAGAAGCAGGCTTCCCGCTGAACAGGGAGCCCGATGCGGCGCTCGATCCCAGGACTCTGGGATCATGACCTGAGCCGAAGGCAAACATTTAATGACTGAGCCACCCAGGCGCCTGACGAACTGTTTCTTATTCAGTTTATATCCTTAGCAAATCTTACTGAAAGGAATGATGAGGAGAGAGATAGAGAAAATTTAAGAGTGTGATGTCCTTTAAGATTGTGTCAAGCAAATGATGCAGTTGTCTTTTTTTACTTAAACCTGATTTCATAATGTTTTGCAACGAAAGAGCTTGCATCCTGCAGCCAAACAACGTTGTAGCTTAAGCAACTGATAGCCATTTCATCCATTTGTTTGTCCTTCATAACTTAATTCAACAAATACTTATTAAGTGTATGTACCAGGCACTTGGGCTAAGGACAGGAGATAAGAGGACAAATAAGACCCGACTGTCCCGGTACTCACAGAATCTTCGAGTTCAGTGTAAACACAGAGACACATACAAACACGAGTACACAGACATAGAACGTGATAAAAATTGTGATTGGCAGATTACGGGGAACCATGGGAACACCCACAAAATCTCAGATTTGTAGTTCATGAAATTCCCCAGAAAAGATAATGTCGAAGTTGAGGCCTAAAGGATCAGTGAATGTTAAAATGAACAGTTATTAACTAATGAAACATTAATTGAGCATAAAGATTGGTTTTATAGCCTAATTTAAGGCCCTGTCAGTCTTAAAATTATGTCTTACATTTATGAAAATAATTAAAGTAAGTTATTTGTGACACCACATAAGTTCAACTGAGTTTATTATCTGTGTCTTGAGAGTTATTTGTCCAAATAGTTCGGTAAAATGTGTATTTTAATGGATGGGATCTTTCTCTAAACCAGCTGAATCTCACTACAGGAATCCTGGAGGAGCCACAGTAATCATTTTAACTTTGCAAAAAAAACTTGCTTTTGGCATTCTTGGATCTTTTTCAGAACACAAGCATTTCCTAAATGTTATGAGTAACATGAACATGGTTTTATGCATGTAAAATGTTAAAAAGCTTAATGAATTCCTCAAAAAACCCAAAAATGTGATTACCACATAATCCAGCAATTCTACTTCTGGGTATCATGCCAAAGAATGGAAAACAGGGTTTCAAAGAGATACTTGTATACCTGTGTTCAGAACAGCATTATTCACAATAGCCAAGAGGTGGAAGCAGCCAAACTGCCCATCTACAGACAAATGAATAAACAAAACGTGGTGTTGACGTATAATGGAATATTACTCAGCCTTAAAAAAGGAAAGAAATCCTGTCACATGCTATACATGGATGAACCTTGAGGACATTATGTAAAATGAAATAAGCCAGTAATAAAAAGTTAAATGCTGTATGACTCCACTGATATAGAGTATCTAAAGTAATAAAATTGATAGAAATAGAAAATAGAATAGGTAGAATGGTGGTTGCCAGGGGCTGGGGGATGGGAAAATTGGGCATTGCTATTTAATGGCTATAGAGTTTCAGATTTGCAAGATGAAAAAGTTATGGAGATTGGTTACACATTAGTATGAATATACTTCATATTACTTAACACTTAAACATGATTATGATAGAAATCTTTTATGTGTATTTTACCAGAAATTTTTTAAAAGATTTTTTAAAAACCTGGAAGTAATGATATGTTTATATTCATTCCACAGTCTTGAGGTAGGAGTGGTGCAATGAAAGAGTTCAGATGTAATGGGGGCTCTGCTCAGGTAGTAGTGTTGAGGGGTAGCTTATAGTATAAAAGCTTGAGCTCTGTCCTGAGACTGAATGGGTTTAAAGAGAAGGACTTCACCAGTTTGTCATTTCAGAAGGCTGCCCCGTGCAGGGTAGAGGATGAATGGGAAAAAGCGATCTCAGTGGCAGTCTGCACAACCCAGGGTTCCTTGGATGAGAGCTAATCAGAACCACTCATCAGGCCTTGAATGTGTAAAAGGGATAAAAAATGTGTAAAAAAAGGCTTACAGCAGTGATGGTGATGGGGGCTGTGGATGAAGTAGACTCCAGAATTATTTAAGATATAAATTAGGTAGACTCAGTGAATTCTTAAATTGGCAGATAGGAGAGTGAAAGATAGGATGGAGTTGACTGACTCCTACTTTTCTGTCTCAGGTGACTGCATAGATGGTAGTATCTTCCTGAGAGAGAATTGAAGGGGGTGGTGGCTGTGGAGGACAAATGTGCTAAAAGCCAGAGGCACTAAAATGGGCACATTTTTGACATTATTCCACTCCCAATGAACACATAATTGTTCAAGAACGGATGTTAAACTTGATCCCTGTTTCTGAGGCAGATTACCTTCCCAAATTATTCATAGGGTTAGGAAAACAGAAGTATGGTAGTTTGCAGTTTACAGAAATGCTCCAACAGCATTTTGTTGTGTGCTCTCAATGAACTGCTTTCTACCAAGCTGCCAATTCAGTCATCAGACTTGGGCTTCATCTCCTTATGGGAAAGGAGGAGGGGCTGATGATAGAAATAGGATTCAGGTTCACATTATCTGGACAGGGTTCCATCTCTGATGCCCACTAGGTAGGTGACCCTGGGGAAGTCTCTTAACATCTCTGAGAATTAGTTTTCTCATAAGTAAAATGGAGCATCGTAAGTAAGAAGAATTACAGTGGAAGAAATAGATGATAGTCCTTTGCAAACTGAAGACAAGATACTGTTTGTTGTAAGTTTTGTTTTGCAACTAAGAGTAAACCTGGAAGATTGCAGAAAGCCTCTCTGGAAAATACAAGTAATTATAATCAACTCATGAGTATGAATGGACAACACGTTGAATTACCAACCCTGGGTGTTTCTTCTTGTACTATCAGATTATGAATCAGACTGAGAGCTGATGTCCAAGATGGTCAGGCCTGTGCTCCATCCCTCTTCCTTGTCCTGATCCTTTTCCTCTCTGCCAGCTCCCTTAGGTCTGCTTTGAAGACTTAAAGATAATTTTTGCCAGAGGATGCTCTTTTTGTTACTGGCATGTAGAAAGAAGATGATAAAAGAGGAAAGGGATCAAGAGAGAAAGAACTACCACTTCTTTCCCTTCAGGGAATCATCTGAATATAGGCAGACCCTTTGCCTTGATTTTTGAAGTTCTTTAGATGGAAGCTCCATCTCCGGAAATTGTGATCCTTTGTCCCAGAATCTGAATAACCCAAATCATTACTCCTTCTCTTTGGGTATGAAAGGAAGAGAAAGTTGTTTTCCTTTTGAGGCCAACACAAATAATGTGGGTGGCAAAAATTTTTCTTCATTTCCAAGGGAACTTTAGCCTTTCACAAATTCTGAAACAAAATTAAGTTTCCTGAATGGAATGTATCAGAAGTCTGTTTTATTGCTCAATACATATTTTTTTTTCCTTCTCCATCCTTGACCTAGAAATTTTAGCACATACTTAGGTACTCTGGTCATTTGGAGGAGGGCTTCCTCATCTATTTAGGTAGATTGTCCCAGTCTCGTTTCTTATCACCCGTCTATAGCTTAAAACAGAGATAGTACGTTATCAGGTAAAAACAAGTCATCAGCATTGGTCAGTATTGAGGTTTATTTAGTGCTCACTGTGGAAGTTCGTTATGGTGACTACCAGAAGAGTCTGCAGCAAAGCCTCTTTGGTGTACTTGTTATCTGTTTGGTCAATAATAGGTATGCACTGTGTCCTGTAAATGAAGTTGGTATATGAAGTTCTCAACTGCACCCTTTGCAAGCACTAATGCTTCTGTTGTTCTCTCTTGTCTTTTCTCCTAGAAGTATCGATATCAAGATGAGGACGCTCCACATGATCATTCCTTACCTCGACTAACCCATGAAGTAAGAGGACCTGAGCTGGTGCATGTATCAGAAAAGAACCTGTCTCAAATAGAAAATGTCCATGGATACGTCTTGCAGTCTCACATCTCTCCTCTGAAGGTCAGTTAGACTGTTCTCAGAGCTGGCGGCGAAGGGAGATGTTTGTTGACCTGATTAAATGAGTCTCTCTTAAAACACTACAGTGGCCCATGGTTCCTGAAGGGTCTTTCTATGGTTTGGAGGCTTACCTGGAATTTCTGATGCAGGAAGGTTGTTCTTGCAGTTGTTTGAATGTCTGGGAATTCTTTTTAGTTGCTGAGAATGGGCTAAGGAAAGAGCAAGGGACAAAAATTGAAAGGGAAAATAAGGTAACCACATATTTAGAAAGCACAGGAGTACATCAAGATTTTGTTCAAATGCTACCTCTCCACCTCTATTCCTGATCCCAGGTAAAACAAAGGAAGTAAGTATAACATGTTAACACCTAATGATTGCCTTACCATGTAGACTAATCAAAAAACTGTGTGAGTTGGCTCATCAACACCTCAATTTTATACTACCTTTCTTTCTATTTGGTGTCATACTTTCTGACATTTTCTACATTTTTTCTTTAATTTTTAATCAATTTCTTGATAAATGGTATTTTCACAAACAAAGGACAATTAAGTGAGAGGATTTTTCTGTGCTCTTTGGTTGCAAATCACTCTTTTTCTTTGCTGATGCTCTGGGATTTTGTGCTTTGGATAAAAGCTCATAAATGTTGATTAGAGTTAAAAAAAGAAAAGTGGAACTAGAATCAATGATGTAACAGAAGTGAATGCAGATGAAAAACAAAACAAGACAAAACAAACAAGAAGAAGAACAACAAAAAAAAATCCTACTAAAATAACTCTTTACTGCTAAAGAAAATTCATTGTTTATTTTGTTAGCCAGAATATTCACTTCATCACCACTTCCATATAGCTGTGTCACAGTAAAAAATAAAGCCATAAAGGTGGTCCCAGTGCCTTCTGGAATCTTATTATACCTTCTAAGACATCAAAGAAAGGCTAAATTATGTTCTAATATAGTTCTGGAATTGGCACATGTTAAATACCCTGGCATCCTCAAAATGTTTTATCAAATAAACTAGCTTCATTTACCACTGATTAATTCAAATATTAGGTTGATTGTCAAATTCCAGTAAATATGTTATAATATGTAAAAATATACAAACATTGTACCACTAGAATTCATTGTTTAGTTCTTCCCAGAGTCTTTTTAGAAATCACTGAATGACTAATGGAAATGGGCATGTTTAGCCTAGAAAAAAAAGATTAAGGATTGGAGGACAAGGGATTTCCCTTCTTACACCTGAAGGGCTGTCATGTGGAAAATATTGGTGCCACCCAGAGAGCAGAAGCAGAGCACTGTGGATGTATATTTGGGATCATTGTAAGACCACAACTCCTGTCAGTTAGAGCTACCCCAGACAGGTGTAGACTAGTTCAGGAAGCAGCATTTCCCTGTTCCTAGAAATCTTCCAGGCCTGGCTGACAACCTGGCAGTGGTATTGTGGAAGGGATTCCTTCAGCAGGAGGGTGCACAAAATTGTCTCTAAGGTCCGGTCTCACTCTAGGAATCAATGATTCTAGTCTGGGGTCAGATGAATACCTTCCTTCTTTAAACAAATGCTCATGTTTGCAAACAAATGCTCATCCTGACTCTGTGTGCTGACCAGTAGAAATTGAGAAGGGACAGGGGTGGGAGCCTGGATTTCATTAAGAGTATTTAAATCTCAGCTCTTTCTTCTTTCTTTTTTCTCTTTCCTTCCTTCCTTCCTTCCTTCCTTCCTTCCTTCCTTCCTTCCTTCCTTCATCCCTTTGCTTCGCTTCGCTTCTCTTCTCTTTTTTCTTCCTTCCTTCCTTCCTTCCTTCCTTCCTTCCTTTTTCTTTCTTTCTTTCTTTCTTTTTTCTTTCTTTCTCTTTCTTCTTTCTTGAAATCTTTTTAAGAACCCTCACAGAAACTCCCTTCTTTTCTCCCTACTTGTCTTTCTTCCTTTCCTAGCACATTTTAATTAGCTCTAGAGCATAGCTCCCAAAGGCTGCAAGCTGAGTAGTTCATCAAGGTTAGTCTAAAGCTAGCCTGGTTATAGTAAACAAACAAACAAATAAACAAAACAATAAAAGTGTAATAGGATCTTCATTTTATATGTTAAGTCTTAAACATATACATGCTATTATAATTGTCAAAATGTCTACAATTTGGGTGGTTACACCATGTGTTATGTTACTGCTTCATTTGGAAAATGTCAAAAAAATATTAAAGTTAAAGGAAAAGTTAGCTTTTTCTGAAGATCGCATCTCAAATATAAAGGACTCTTTCCCATTTCCCTTTATCCCTTGCCTTCCAGGAATTTCAGAATTAAGTATCTTCAATTTTGGTGGTTCTCCTTAGCTTAGGTTTTCTGTTTCTGTTTCTCACTTATGTCTTATTTCTTATTATCTTTTTGTAAAAATGATTTATTGGTTTTTATGGTTTTACTGTCGTGACATCTTCTACTGAAGACACCCCATATCAGTTTAAAAGTGGTCATTTATGAATGATAAACCCCTGATAGGAAACACTAGGGTAGGAATATGTTTCCCATCCTTTTTGGAATCACCAGTGTATGGTGTGACCACCAAGGTATTGTGAAGAGGAGGGAAAAATAAGTCAATCCGGGATTTCTGCACCTAGGCTGTGAAGTAGCAATTTTGGAGCCAAGACTTTTTCCCCCATGACACTTCAGAGGTGTTGTTCATGCTGAACAAGATATGTTTTTAGATTGTCTTAATGAACAGACTGTGTACCTTTCTTATGTCAACAATAGTGATAGGGATAAACAGGCACAATTTTTCCAGAAACACACACACACATGCACACACACACACACACGCACACAAACACACACACACACACACTGTTGTGTAGAGTTTGCCAGTTTCATGGTGTAAATACTCCCACCGTGGCTGAGTTCAGGCTACCAACCTGAAGCCCGGGACTGCATTCGGGAAAAAAAAGCAAATGAGGCTTTACAAGCCAGTGTGATTGGCTCCAGCACAGGCAGCCTCCAGCACATGCATTTTTGTAGCAATAGGACACATTTCCTAATCAAGTTGTTAAGGGATTATTATATTATCACAGTTCAAGTGTTCGGAAAACCTGCCATGATTAAAATCTAGTGTGTTATTTTCTCATAAAGGAAGCCTAGAGTCAGAGAAATGCTAAGAAGGTACAAATTCTCAATTAGAACTGGCCTATTTTCAACTTCTTTGCTCCTTTGATCTGTCTGGTCCTTTTGGGTCAAGCACTAAAAGAGGGAAGAGTGGGGAGGCAAAACCCACAATCAGATAATGCCCCCTGAGTCTTACTTCAGAGTCAATGCAGCTCTCTAGTATTAATTAGAAATTTACATATGGCATGCCTGAGCAGAGTGTGAGATTGCTGGATAACAGTTGAAATACCACACGGAGCAGGCTCTAAATCATTAGCTGAGCAATCTTACTGTTGCAGGTTTGACAATCGTTTCTTCCATCACCACTTATCACTGGAAGCCTCGGTTCTAAGATTCATCTGCCTTTGGTACACACCCGCTGCCTGGCTGATAGATGCGCTTGCTTAGCCTGCTTTCATTAGAATGCCTTGGCCATTGTGAAGTATGGGGTTAAAAGGAGAAATGCAATTTTGCAGTGAATTCAACAGAATTTGTTTTCTTTGCCTCAAGATGGGGATGCTTTCTCTTCAGATGCTACCTAGAATCTTCCACAAAAGAAGCTGGCTTATAATAAAGCATGAGAATTTTCTCTTCAGTTTAAGTCAATTCCATAATATTAATTGGATCTCTACTATGCACATCATAATAGGTGATGGGGAAACCAAGGGCAGTAAAACATGATTTTATATATACTTACCACTTTCTTAAAAGACCTGAGCTCTAATTATTTATTACTTATTGTCACTCTGCATCAGGGATTCACATTCCTGAAGCTTGGGTACTGTGAGACCCCAGACATCGAGCGAAGTACTCTTTACAGAGTATCTGTTGAGAGAGAGAGAGAAGGAGATGGAGCAGGAGAGGGAAGGAGGGAGGGGGACAGGCAGGCTTATTTTTAAGAACCTGGACTTCAGAATACCTGGATTTCAATCCTGGCCCTTTCATTCAGTAGCTATGTGACCTTGATCAAGTTAACCTCTCTGTCTTAGGTTCCTCATTAGTAAAATGGAAGTAACAATAATATTTATCTCATAGGATTTGTGTACTAATTAAATAAAGTAATGTATGTAAACTGCTCAGAAAAAGTTTGGCACATAGTAACCACTCACCAAATGTTGTTTTTGATCTTATTATTATCATCATTAGCCAGCTATCATGACAAATACTTTAAAATCACTTCCTTCATTTATCTCATTTTACCTCTACAAGATTATACATGATTATCAGTAGTTCCCTTCAATCCAAGAACTAGTAAATAGGAGTGCAAGTATTTGTAATTCAACTCAGGTCTCTCTGGATCCAAAGCCTGTATTCTTTTTTTTTTTTTTTTTAAAGATTTTATTTGTTTATTTGATAGAGTTAGAGAGAGAGAGCGCAAGTAGGCAGAGCGGTAGGCAGAGGGCAGAGGGTGAAGCAGATTCCCCGCTGAGCAGAGAGCCCGATGAGGGTCTTCATCCCAGGACCCTGGGATCATGACCTGAGCCAAAGGCAGTCACTTAATGAACTGAGCCACCCAGGTGCCCTGAAAGCCTGAATTCTTTATCACTCCTGTGCTACATCACCTTTCTCTAAACTGTTCTATTTTTAAAGAGATCACAGATTCAAATTTTCACTTATTGGGTCCATGTATGTAAAAGGAGAAGGTCCTTTTTTTCATATGGACTTATCCTTAAAAACAATTATTAAGCAGATATATAAAGGAGTGTGTAAGAAATATAGTTTTCTAAGTGAGAGCCAGCAAGAGTGGTGATAGGTGGGAACTTTATGAGGAAATAGAAGGAAAATAAGTTCTATCTGTAAAATACCTCAAATCACCCAGTGGTAAACTCCCAAGGGTTCTCTCTGCTCCTGTGACCAAAAACAAAACAAAACAAAACTGGTATTTGGGAGCTAG